GATACAAGGGCGGAGACCCAGAGAGAGGGCAGGCGGGAGGGCAGGGGCTCTGGCGACCCTCTCACAGCACCCGCCTCAGCCCCTGCTGTGGGCCCCAGGGACAGCTGCCAGGCACTCCCGGCCTCCACGCCACCCTCCCGCCATGTGTGGCATCCTCACCATGGCCCCACAGCCTCTGCCTGCTGCCAGGGCCTCCATGCCTCCACCTGGGACGTGGGTGCTGCCTCCCTGTCTCCCTCTGGACTCCTGGGTCCCGGGGAGCACCACACCCTCTCCTTGGCCCTTTCGGCTGCACCTCATAACCCTCCAGGCAGCTCTGGGCACCTTCCAGGGTGGTTTCTGCCTGCCTTTCTCCCCTTCTCCCCAATTTCCTGGTAACCCTGCTGAGCCCTTCTCCCCCACAGGACTCGGCAAGGTGGGCACCAGTGAGAGCACCCGCATCCCCCAGGAGGATGCCAGCCCCAGAAAGCCACCCTGGTCGGGATGTCTTCCGGCCCCAGAGGCAGCTACGGGGGCAAAAAGGTGGCAGCAGACTGCCAGTGCGGAGCAGACCCTCGTCCCCTTCTCCCGGCCCTGCTCGGCACGGGGCGCGCCGGGGTGAGCAGTGTTAGTGGGACTGACAGAGAGAGACACACACGGCATGGACACGGCTTAGCACCGAAGGCCGCGTACAGCAAGTTCGAGGAGACACAGTGGGGTCCGGGGGGAAGAGGAGGAGGAAGAGTTGGGGAGGTTACCCTGCTAACCCGGCCTGCGGCGACGCTCTCCGAGAGGAACCTTGAGATGAAATGGAGAAGGAGATGTTGGTGTCATTGACGGAGGAGGCAGGACTGCGCGGTGCTAGCCCACCCAGGGCTGGAGGGGAGAGCAGGTGGGCACTGAGGACAGGGTGGGAGGGAAAGGAAAAGTGTCCAGGGGCTCCTCATCAGGCTGCAGGGCTTGCCCAGATGTGGACAAGAAGGGCTGTGGCTTGCCCCTGCTGCTACCCTCTCCCTGGACTATCCTTCACCTTTATCTGGGCCTGAGACCCCAGGCTCGAAACGCTCTTTCCTTTCTGTGACTGAAAAAAAGGAAATGATACTTCTCCTTGTGACCCCCAGGCCCTGGGAGCCTGGGAGGTGAGGCTTTAAGGAAACCACCAAGCCTTGGAGAAGGCATGAAATGCCTTCCAGGAGCCCTGGATTGCTCTGTCCTGAGCCCCCTTAGCAAAGGTGGGACCAGTGTCTCTGGCCTCCCTCCAGCCCAAGAGCTGGGGCCAGTCCCTGCAGGGACCAAGGGCTGTCCCCTCAAACAGGGCCATGTGGCCCTTTCCTCCCACCTTTCTCAAGGTGTTTTGAAGCTGGGGCTAGAGTGAGCCCTGCCCTTCTCCTGCTGAGGTCTGCAGAGCTATAGCGGTGGAGGAGGATGAGGTGGGCCACATCTCCGCAGCAGCCCCATCTCCAGCAGCCTGGCAGCATGGTGCGTTGCCTTGCTCCTTATCTCAAGCCTCCAGGACTAATCCGCCAGACCTGTTGCCATGCATCCCGGCCAACCAGCCCCAAAGAAACAGCAACTGGCGGCAGCTTCTAACGCCCCTGGAAAGCCTGGGCTTGTTACCAGCACCACAACAGAGACATGATGAGGAGGGGTCAAGAGAGGTGGCGAGGATGCAGAGCGAGACCCATATGTCCTGCTGGGGCAGCCTGGGACAAGAGTGTCTCGCTGTGGCCAAGCTCTGCAGGGGACAGCGGAGGGAGGACCAGGCTGCCCACTGCTACTGTGCCTTAGCCCTGCTGGCCTGGCACTGTGGGTCAGGATGCCATGAGCACAGCCCCAGCAGCAGCGCCACATGGGTTCAGCACTATGTGCCCGGCCGTGCTTGGCTCTTGCAGCACCCTGATCCTCACGCAGCTACGCATGAGGAGGGGATGGGCACGGCCTGGTGAGCATATGTGCACACACATGGCTGCAGAGGTGTGTGAGTATGCATAGGTAGGTGCTTATGTGCGTTTGCATGTGTGCATGGTTAGGGATGGGCATTACGTGTTAAATGTATGACTGAGACTGTGTATGCGTGCTGCTTATCTACATGGCTTTGTGAATGAAAGCATGCATGCGTAGGTTGACATATGTTTGCCCCAACAGGGATTTTGTCCTGGGAGAGGAAGGGCCGCATCACCCTGGAGCAGCAAAGCCACTGTGTGGTACAGGGGCTGAGAAACCTTTATTTTGTGCTGTGAGGAGCTTTCCTGGCCCATATACTTTACAGGGAATCTATTAGTGGAAGCCTGCAAAGAGCTTTACAACAATATATGAGCAGTTATTTCTCCTATCTTCTCTCCTCAAAACTTCAGTCCAGCCAAGGCAAAAAAAATCCTCCCATACTGAGCTGATTTCTAAAAATCCAGCCACCTTCACATTACAGTCCCAGAGCTCGCAGCTGATAACAGCTCATGACAAATAGGTCAGAAAAGAGGTAATCTCAGCTCCACACTGGTAATGTCACCAGCGTTGAATGCTAACGAGATACTATATATGCATACCGTGTTTTGTCTGGCACTAAATATTGCCTGTCTTAGAGCCCAGGACCCTGAATCAATAGGATCTCAAGGAGGAGAAAACTGCATTTGGAGGGCAAGAGAGAAACACATTTGAGATAGTACCTTTTGCTGGAATATACATACACGATTTCAAAAACATTCATATTTTCTGTTTCTAAATGGGAAGATATCAGAAGTTTGTAATATTGGAGGCAGTCTGTCTGGTTAGCCATTTGTCTAGCTAGCCTGATGCACCCATCCATTCATTCTCAGGCTCTGTCTATTCATCCATCCATCCATCCACCCAGTGCAATGCCTTGGGCTCCCTGGCAGCAGAGCTCTGCCCCAGGGCTACGCTAGAGGTAGGGGTGGGGGATTTGGCATGTGCCAAGATCTACCTCGTAATCCTTCTGGGCTCCATGAAACTGGGAGAGTCACGTCTCCTCTTCCTGATGGGAGAATAGCTTCTGGAGCGACGTCTGGCCCGGGCAGGATCAGGGTCGCTGTGGCGTGTTCGGGGCTCGTTGTCCTTCTCTCTAAACCAAAAGTCACAACAAGCATTAGGGACCATGGGGGAGCAAATAGCTATGCTTGGCTGGAGAGCCGCACAGCAATTGGGTAAGCAGAGTTGAAGCTTGGGTACATGAATGCTGGGGGGGACACCACGCATGGTGACCATCCGCAGGGAGGGAGACCGGTGCCCAAAACCAGTGCTGGGAATGGTACTGGGGACGGATCTATGTAGACCGGGTACCAGGCCCTTGAGACCTCGGGCCTTTCTTCCGCACAGGATGGACACTACAAGGGAAAGACTGCCAGGGTCTAGAAAGGGCTTTTTGGTCTCCTCTTAATTCTGGTCTCTCCTGGGGAAGTACTTGTGCAGGCAGTGAGTGTGTTGGGACTTGTGTCCTAAGGACTCAGGCTGCACAGCGCAAGCACCTCTTTCCAGGAAAGCACAGGTGTCGGGCAACCCCACAGAGTATCTCGCACCATCCCTGGGGGCTGACCTGCTCGCGGTTTTTTTCTGCGATGGAGACCGGGTCCTGCTCCGCGCTGCTCGTTTCTCCCGGGAGCGGGAGCGGGACTTGGACAGGGAGCCGCTGGAGCTCCAGGAGCTGCTCCTGTGCCCCGTGCTGTGGGACAGGCTCTTCTTCCGCTCAGACATGTGCCGTGAGTGCTTGGCTGACGACTCTGAGCTGCTGTTCGGCCTGCCCCGATGATGTCTCTCCTTCACCCTGCAATGGGCAGAGCGAGGGCAGTCCCTAGGCTGTCCCCAGGCTGTCCCCATGGCCACAGCCCCCTCCAAAGCTTTCCCTCCACAGCTTTTGCTGTGTTTCCGAGAGTCGAGAAACACAGCAAAGCCCCTGGGTACCCAAGAGTGAGCACCAGAAGTGGTCCTACAGGGTTGTGATTTTCAGACGAGTTGAGCACCTTGATGACAACATGTGGGGCACTCACCTGGGGTGAAACCAGGCTGTAAAGGCTGGGAGCCCAGCATCACGGGGTACCAGCAGCACGCAGCAGCCGGCACAGTGCTGGCAGGGTGCCTGGCTCCTTGTGGTGCTGATGCGAGCTCTCTGCAGCTACCCAAACTGCCCTGACTTTCTGTGTTCCCACACGGGCATCCAGGCCCCGCTAGGATTATCCTTCCCAGGCTCTTCCCCGCTGGGCTCATCTCCCCAGCCAGGAGCTGGTACCCAGCCCGGGGGCCTCCCACTCCCCTCACCAGCCACTGCAGCTCTGCCCTGGCCCCATCACTTGAACACCCCCAAGCCTCGCCGTCCCCCCAGCTTAGCTCCATCACCACGCCGCAGTGCAGGGCCGGAGCTTGCCCCGGGGAGAAACAGGGTGCCAAGAAATGAAAGCATCTGGGAACACAGGTGTCCATGTCAGAGCATGCGGATGCACCCTGAATACTGGAGACCAACCGCCCAGTGTCCCTGCAAAGGGCTGAATTGCACCCGCTTGCCTGCAAGCCCCTTCTTACTTCTTGGCATGAGCACCATGGTTCTTCTCAGGACCGGGCGGCAGGTGGTAGGGGTGCGAGCACGCTGAGCCCTCCGAGTCGCTGCTGTAGCCCGTGGGGCTGAGTGCCGGTGGCGATGTCTCCCGGGGGGCTGCGGCCCTGGCCTTGCTCTGGCCCCGGTGCCGGGGCGGCGAGGCAGTGCGGGAGCGGTGCCGGTGGCCGTGCTTCTCAGCCCC